TCCATTGGACGGTATGATACTTTAGGAGTCCTATCCGAAGGCCCAAGCCTCTCAAAAATTTCGAATTTCTCGTTTGGACAAATGGACGAAGCTACATCCTTCATTTTGATAAATAAATTTGGGTTGCAAAATCGATTTTGTCACCCAGGAATGGAATGGACTAGATTCACCGAATGTAGGAATCGACATGAGGTTATATATTGTTACTTTCCACCGAAAATTATGCTAATTAAATAGATATTTACCCTTCTCCTCACTGTCGTCACTTCCACCACTATTTTGATGATTCATTTCAAGGCTAATTACAAACAGTTAATTAGTCAGTCTTGCACTTTGGTCAGCACTCGAGGCGATAAACTCACACTGCTTGACGACAATAGCGAAAGTGACAAAATGTCGGGTGCTCGTGCCACTCAGAGTGACTGAGTCACTACGAGAACCATCTCGCGAAAGGCGGCAATTCAAATTCACATCAGGATTTACTTAGTCATTTCACTTTTTACCAAATCTTTTCTTCATTTTTTTATAAATGCTCTGCAAAAAACTTCCACTCAATACAGCATTTACAGTTTGCGCACATAAGATATATTATTTCGTCATTATATATACTCAAATATTCCATTTACTCGATGCCAAAGCTGGCATGAACCATTGCTGTTACATTCAAATTTTCGTTCGTCAATAAATGAATAATTAGATTGCTCATCACGTCTTGCAAAATAGTATCCAATTAATTGAGAGTTTTGGGGGTAAAGTTGATCTTGATCAGAACTGTCAAAAGTATTTACAACGTTTTAAACGTTGATAATGTGGCGAAGTGTGTTCTTAACAATGTCAATAAGTTTCATGCAACCATTCCCTTTGTAATTAATGTCCTGAAATAATATTTTCAACAGTGAAGGAATACACACAGGAATACACTGACTCGTGTTCAGTATTTATTCCGAATTCGTCTCCTTTCAACTCTCTATGGTATATTTCAAGGCTGTATCGGCAGTTGAACGTTTGTATGTACTAGTGTTCGTGTGTGATGAGAATCCTCGAGTGAAAATTTTCTCGGATATAAGGAGAAAGTCTCTCAAAAAAAAAATTAGTTGTAACAAAGTGAGTAATTGATTATTGTTGCTTTTGAAGTGACCATAAATGATAAGTCAAGATGGCACGACCAAAGAAGAGAGCACATTCAAGGAAATGGACATGTGTTTTGAAGTAAGTAACCTCCAATTTTTCATTAATTCCAACATTTCCAACTGTTACAATTATTGTATTGAAATTTCTGATGCCCAAATTACATTTTTAGACTTATTTATTATGTAGCAATTGTCAAATCGTCCCTAAATGCAGTGAAAGAAATTGTGAATAATGAAAGTCCGAGAATGTTGGTAAAATTGTATCTCCATAACAGTCAGTCCATATCGTGGTATCCATTCAATTTATTTAGACTCATTGTCAGGCTCAAATTTGTGGATAGAGAATTTTCAGAGAATCAATTATGAGTATTTCGTTATGAGTTTATGAACTAAAAAATGTTGAAATCATCGGTTGTATTGTATCGGTTATATCGGCTGTTCTTTGAACGAAATCCTGCATGACAGATTATATTTGAACAGTTGATTGGTTGCTGTGCTATCCTCTGAAATAAATATCAATAAAATGATTCTAGTCGAAAGGCCAAATTGGAGAAGCGAAGTGGACAGCTAACACTGGATGAGGGCATGAGCGAAGGTGCAATTTCTAGCGAAGGTAGCATGCAGCAGCTGAAAGAAATAGTGAACAGCAGTGATGTAGATGCTGGCACAAGATCAACCATCACAACACAGGTGAGTAGTGCGAGAAATGTGAACCTTTCCTCATTCAAAGATAGTAATAGTTGTGCAGAGATTGATCTGCAAGTAATGCGAGAGGTTTTTGACACTGCAAAAACTGATTTTCACCAAGTATTGCATGAACTTGGTGAATCTAATCTTGTTCAATCACCACATAATGGTGATATCCAAAACCACAGATTGCAATCGTTAGGAAACTACAGCACAAATATAGTAGATCATGAGATCACTATGGAAACAGAGGAAGAAAATATTGATAAAAGTATTGCATGTGATTCCATACCTCCGTCGCAGTGCTCAGATTCTGATATAGCTGCCTGTATAAACGTAAGTGGACCTCATGCTCATCAACTAGAGGTCTATTAGTCATGAAATGTTTTCCACCCTTGAATCCCCGCATGAGTCCTCCTCTCCCATTAGTGGTATTAAGAACTACGGACAGTTGTTCAAAAGCTGCGTCAGGAAGTATGAAAGACAGAAAACTTCCGCTCTGAATCAGCGTGCAAAGCTGCCACCCACAAAGTCTCCAATTTTGCAATATAATGTAGGTGATACATCACAAATAGATTATGTAGAAACGAACCGGGTCCATTCTTCCATTCATTTACATGATGCAATGAATGTAGAACATCTCCCAGCTAGCCAAGCATTCAAGATATGGGAAGGTCAAGAACACGAACTTGGTGAAAGATCGGAACCCAGTGTATTTCCAGTGGATAACTTCGGCAGGAGCAATACAAATTCTGCGTTCACGTCGAGATCTTTCTCAAATCCCACCGACGGCGGGCACCAAGAAGCTGTCTCTAGTGATGAATCCGTTGATGAGTTCGATGAGTTTGATAATGATTATTCCTCATTGTACACCGAATCTTCATACGAAATGAGTGACGTAGAAGAAGATTTTGATTCTGACGACTCTGAATTGAGCAACTTGTCCATTGACACTTCAGAAGATATAGAAACAGCTAGCATTAATGAAGATAACGGTGAAGATGATTTCTTCGAGGCACAAATGGAGGGGCGTCGTATTAGTGACATAAATTATGTTCCGTGAACTTCATGCTAAATTCGATGATCATAGGAAGGCCCACAATGGCAATTGTCCAGGTCGATTCACTGATCTACGTTGCTATAAATTCTATGATCTAGGAATGAAAACAAAACTGTTCTTCATTTGTTTGTATTGTAAACATAAGGATACAATTTGGACTGATAATCCCGAATCGGAAGACAAGCTATCCATCCACGACGGTTTTGTGGCTGGAATGTTGACATCAGGATCCGGTTATTCTGGAGGACAAGAACTACTCGCTGCAATGAGTGTGCGTACCATGTCAGCAAGAATTTATCGTAAAAATCGTGAAAATTTGGTACCCGTCATCGAGCAGCTATGCAATGATGAAATAAAGGCGGCAGGTGTTCGAGAGAGAGAATTGGCGATCAAAGCCAATAACACAACTCCCGAAGGAAAACCAAAAGCTGAAGTTATCGGTGACTGCCAGTGGAGTAAGCGATCATATAAAGATGGGCGATATGATGCACTTTCTGGTGTAGCCGTTCTGGTAAGTGCCTTAACCGGCCTTATACTTTATATGGGCGTTCGTAATAAGTTTTGTTTAGTTGATGCTCGTGCTGAGTCTCTTGGTATCGAACCAGAAGCTCATACATGCTATAAGAATTGGGGTCGTAATCAGGCTTCTACTGCAATGGAAGCCGATATTATTGTGTCCGGTTTCAATGAGAGTATTGAAAAGCATGATATAATATATGATACATACATTGGCGATGGAGATAGTAGCACTTATAATGCTATTGTATGTTCCCAGCCTTATCTTGCGTATGGAGTTTCTGTTAAGAAACTGGAATGTATCAATCATTTATTTCGTTGTCTTTGCAAGGCTCTCAGGATTATTGCAAAAATGACCGCTTTAGCGTCATTACCTCGGGGGAAAATTGGGCCGCTTCGCAAGCGCGTGTTTCACAGTGGCTTCCACATGAGAATGCATGTTGAGAAACGAAGTAAAGAAATTTCGGAGCAAGATACCACTGAGCAAGAAAAGGAGACTGAGTTGTTCAAAGCTATAGTCACTATGATAGGACATTTCTTTGGCGACCATTCTCGATGTGACTCCACGTTCGAGGATTGCGATCACTCAGAAGAAAATATGATCCCATATCTGGAAACAGTTGGCATGAAGCCAAAAATTGAGAAAGCAGTTGACAATCTTGCCTGAAATGTTACGAGTTTGTTAGCAGATAAAACAACGAACCCTGCAGAGGCGTTCAATTCTATTCTTAATAAGTTGGCGGGGGGAAGGCGTATCAATTTTTCTCAACGAGAGGCATACTTGTTGAGGGCACAACTTGCAGTCCCACAGTTCAATAATCAAGATGCATTGAGTAAACTGTGCCAATATCTAGGAATTACAGCGCCTCCAGTGGTTCTTCGAATGGAAGCAGCCAGAAGAGCACAAAATATTCAAACAGCAGAATCTCGTGCAGCAAAAGGTCGAAAGCACCGACATAAACGAGGGACTGATAAAAATTATGGTTTGAACTGTAATGCACCGGACATGCCTAAAGAAGTCTATGACGCTTTTCTTGAGGTTCATTTCGATAAACTGAGGGATCGGCAGAGGAGAAGACACGAAATAGAACGAGCAACCGTAGAACAAAGCAAGTCTCCACAATGGTTAGAATTACGCCGAACTATGCTGACAGCATCAAAATTTGGAGCGATATGTAATAGGCGAGATTCCACCTCCTGTCAAAAGCTAGTGGAGAGCATTTGCTATCCACAATTTCTCAATACCGCCGAAATTAGGTATGGTCTGAATAACGAAAAAACTGCTATTGCAGTTTTGGCGACTGAGCTTAACACTGAGATAAGAACTTGTGGCCTCTTTATTGATGAAAACATTCCATACCTGGGTGCTAGTCCTGACGGTCTTATTGGAAACGATGGAATTGTCGAAATAAAATGTTTAGCTTTGGCCGAGGATTGCACCCCCCCAAGCGGGAGTGGAGAAGTTTCCATCTTATAGGAGGTTTTTCGACAGAAAAAATCCCAAGATGATGAACAAGAAGCATCCTTATTATTTCCAAGTGCAAGGACAGTTACATGTGACAGGAAGACAGTATTGTATTTTTGCACTATGGACCCCTCACGGTATAATGCCCACTCGCGTGCTCAAAGACGATGATTTTTGGTTGAAGAATATGGAGCCCAAATTGATAAGATTCTACGAAGCCTGTGTCCTCCCAGAAATTATCGATGGAAGGAAATCGAGAGGAATGCCCATTCGGGATCCTGAGTACATAACTCAAGCAAAGGCTAGAAAGGACAAAGAAGCCGAAGAGAAGAGGAACAAGCAGAAGGCTGGTGATGCAGAGAGTTCTTCAAGAAAAAGAACTCGCACAAGCCAGAAACGGAGACCTGATGAAAATTCCGATGCAGGCGCTGACTGCGATGAGGTTTCAGACTCCGAGGAGAGGTCAAAATTTCCGAATGCCTCAAAACCTTCAAATGCAGGAGTGAGAGGAAAGAATGATCACTCGATTCTTATCAGTGATGATGGAGCACGAGAAACGGAAGAATGGCAGAGTCAAGAAAAGGAGGAGAATAGTGATGCAGTGAGTTCGCCTAGAAAAAGAACTCGCATCAGCAAGAAACGAAGACCTGCTAAAGATACTGATACAGGCACAGACAGCGAAGAGATTTCAAAATCTCGGAAGAGATCAACTCTTGCAACTGCCTCTGAACCGTTAAATCAAAGAGTGAGTGAAAAGAGAAAGAGTGATGACTGGATTGTTATCAGTGATGATGAAGAGAGAGAGGTGGAAGAATGGGAGAGTCAAGCCGTTGAAATAATAATTCGTAGTATAAGCATAGCCGAAGTAATTCCAGAAATTTAATCAGTCAACACCTTTTTAAGCAGTGCAGCGGTAGATGCTTTTCTACGAATAGTTGAAGAAAACTCAGATATTCACGTGCATTTCTCACATTACTTCCCTTACCCAAACTTGGTCAAACCATCCACTACGACTCGTGATTTGCAAATCATTGGAGGTAACTCATTCAGGCATTGGTTTTGTATATTTTACGATGGTTCCAATGTCTTTGCTTACGATAGTGCAGGACGCATGGAGTATGAATGTCTGAGACATGAAGAGAAGCGATACATCGCAAAACGCTATCCTCTCGTAACTCCCATTGATGTCATCTTTCAGCCCACAACTCGTCAGCCAGATGACTGTAGTTGTGGCGTTTATGCTGCTGCTTTTGCGACGACGATCGCTTTATGTGATGGAGATCCAACAATGGTGTCCCGGATAGAATATTCACGAAATGCGAGCGAAATGAGGAATCATCTGATCACTATTCTTCAACAAAATAGACGCCTACAATTTCCAAGTCGGGATGTTGAAGTCTAGACTTTGTAGTTCTAACTATTCTAGACTTTGAGCTGCGTTCTGATCATGCATTGAGCTGTGAGTCAAAAAATGAACCAAGAGCTCAGCTTCTCACACGCTCATGATCTGTAGCGTATTTCAAACTATGCGATGTGATAGGTAAGGTGAGCTCAAACAGGAGGACCATGGATTGATTGACAATCTATGGGGGTGAGTGGAGGGCCTCTCTTAGATTTAAAGAAAAATTCAAAGATTCTAATAAATTAGAATAGGTGTCATTTATTCCAAAACTGTGGCGAGAAATGGAGATGTATCATGAGTAAACATAGTAAGGTAGGGTACTGAAGGCAGACATCAGAATTCCTCTTATATATTCTACAATGACGACAGTAACGATGAAAAGGTCATCATAACCTAATGGTCTTGTTTCAGTCCTCGGGCGGGAGCAGTTGAAACCTTTTTGAACACAGATCGTCATTCCAAGGCATTATGAATTAACAAGTTCCAGGAAAATAGAGAATATAATGGTATGAAACTTTGAGAAGCATCATTTCTTTAGAAAAAATCCATTCTGTTCCACCATTTCCCTACTCGATCGCATGATGAATATCGTCAGATAGATATTCACCGAATTGTTGAATGATTACTTACAGGTTGTCTTCACACTTGTCGAAACTGGAGCAATAAAAAATGGAAGCCCCGGAATTAATTTGCAATGACGAGGCTCCGAGAAAACAGTCAAGACTATCATCTGCAAGATTTTCGGATCTATGGAAATACACCTTAATCATTCTTCGTAGTTTTACTCATGGATGAGGCAGATCAACGTTGACTTAATGAGTATGAGACGCAGACATTCTATTGATAACATGCCATCATTAGTCAAGTCATTCCTTAGTAATCATTCTCATTTATCATGAAAATACAATGTCATTATGCATGCATACGTGTAAAAAAATCAATAGAAAAACGAATTGAGATTTCATCGAAATTCCATTGTAATTCAATTGCATAATTCTATAATTTTTTTGTGCCACTTCTGTAGGAGAAATTCAATAGAAAAGTCAATAGATTTTCATTTTTATACGAAATTCTTGAGCATAGATTTTCTAAGATTTTTCCGCTGTATTTCAATTTGTTTCTCATAATAAAATCAAAGAAAAAAGAATTTGAGAATTCATGTCTAAGCATTTAATAGGAAAATGAAATCTACTGAATTTTGTATTAAACTTTGCCTATAGAAATGGCGAAAAAAAGAAATAGAATTTTGCAATAGAATTCTAGTAGAATTCCAATAGAAATTCGTTGGAATTTCTATTCGTTTTTCAATTGAATTTTTTTATACGTGCAGTGCCGCATAATGAACTCTTCAAATGTCATTAACGGCTATCCTGAGCGAGACTTTCCTTACTAATCAAATGAATAATCAAACATGATGGCCTTTTTTCTTATTGCAGACAACAGAAGCTACCTGGGTTCCAATCTGTTCCCTCCAGTTACCCTGGATGGTTAGGTTGAGGATGAACTTGCAAATTTTTTGATATAATAATGCTGTCCATCAACATCGTTGAACACTTACATTGCTGGAGACGTACTCATAATGACGTTTTACTTCAATGGTGGACAATGAAAAACAGAGTTATCGAAACTAATATTTGATTGGATGGAAGTGAAATTCAATCATAGTTTACGAGTCGAGTCGAGTTGTTGAGAGAGCGACGTCCAATTCATCTCTAGGAAACAAAACGATGAAACTCTCAATCTTACATTAATTTTAATAGATTTGCCCAATGAATCGTACTTTGAAGAAAAATCATTGGTAGATCATGAATTCCATATGTTCATCATTCTTACATTCGCTAGTAATTTGAATTGCAGGAGAAGAATATTTATGACCTACTCCCACCTCGATCAGAACATCGATGATTCCTGTATTATCGACGATGACATTTATCGTTGTGTATGGATATGCGTGTATCGACTCAATGTCATCATTCTCACCAGGAAAATTAACGAATGGAAGGACATAAGAGGTTGCTGAAGGTGTAACATGTTATATCAACTTGTGTGAGGAATAGGGAGCTTTATCTGTGTAGTGATAGATCACGTTGACATACAAAAACTTATTAGCTACGAAAAATCTGATAGGTCATAGAAGGTTATGTCTGACTACTGCAAAATTTGGGAAAAAAGGTGTGTTGTTACTGAGTGACGTAGATTCATTTGCAAAAATCTTTGGTTTGTTGCCGTATTATTTAGATTGTAAATATGCAGGGGGATTATTTGTTCATATCATGTTATTATTGTGTTATTACAGATAAATTCTCCATTGATTTCCGATACAATAGCACATACCCACATCACGATTGGTCTCATGCAAAAGTAGATTATCGACTCCTAGAAGACCTCAGAGTCATAACACATAATTTCATTGAGGTTTTAAGTTGAACACGAGTGTCGAGACCTCGTCAAACTTCAGCATATTCTTGAACGCCTCTGTAGAAGCGGTCAAGCTTGTTCCAAGGGAAAATGCATCTCTTCGAAAGTGTCCAATCATCGATAACATATCCTCTACTCCGTCGAACTAGGAATTCCAACACTCTACTGGAAGAAAGACGACCGCAAGCTGTAAATGGATTCCTCAACAAAGTCCTGAAGAGAGTAATGAAGGAACCTTGCCTGATAAGAAAAGAAGGTCTATCTCGGTTCATGTTGAAACTCCATGTTAACCTCTCCAGACCCTTCGTGACATCTAGAAGTGCATCGGAGTCCGACACGGGCTATACTAAGAACAGGAAGGCAATGGAAAAAACAGTCAAACTCCAAAATATTTATAGCTCCAGTCTTGTTGGTCAAGTATTCCATTGAGGTAATAAGAATCCAACCTGCTTCTCCACGAAGAAAAAACCGGAATACGTCGAAGTCTGCTATATCTTTATCTCCATAAACCTCAAGACTCATTGGGAGCAGTAAAATCGAGTCTGGTGATACGTGAAACCTTTCAGATGTAGACTCTTTGAAATTTCAGACCTAGACTCTTTGCACGGAGTGTATTGGAGTTATTTAATGTCTCCACCAGTACAGAGATAGGCTCACCCCTCTCTGACAACCCTGAACAGGACTAACGTTGCTCTCTGTTCTCGTTAGTCATTAGTTTTGCAACTCTGTAAGATTGATTGTGAAGAAAAAAAAGTGTTCAATCTGTTGAATTTATGAGATTTTTACTTCAGCTGATCTAATCCTGACACACATTTTTTTTTTACCAAATGACTTATTACACATAAGAGCGTCAGTTGATTTATTAACACGTGCGATGTTTTTCATTAAGACTCTACAAAGATTGCAATCTCGATATTCTAATTACGCGATATATATATTTAATTCTACTCAATCATTATTCCCAGTTCCAATTCCACATTACACCATCCGAATTCCACATTGTACACTTCAAACTCATAAATATTCGATCCATCGTGTGGAATTTGACATGTCTAATTGAAGCATTGAAAAAAAAACAGAATTCATAGAACTTGGCAGGAGCGTTGGTGATTCATTTTTCTCAGTTCTACATGCTCAAATCATGCCTGACAAGTTACCCATACCAAATTTGACAATTGAAAATTTGAACTATACAATGGGAAATTCCATTGCATTATGTGTAATTACTACACTGTAATTTATTCGAATTGAAGATGCATATCGTATAACTGATTGCGAAAATTAAAATTTCTGTATACAAGATCTTGATACAAACCTCGAATGTGCCAATAAAAGTATAGACGCCATTGTACATAATAATGCTGCGTGTCGTTTCACCGACAAAATTTCATCACCCATAAAAAAAAGCTCATGATGTATTATTCTGAACCCAAAAGTTTTGAAGATATTTGCATAATACTGAAGCCAAGAATTCTAGAGTATTTCACTTTCATCAAAACATGTTTGTAGATCCTTTTGGAGATGTTTCTGCAACTAGGGGATTATGAGGGAAATGCCATTTACATTTCTTGTTAGAAATTTGATAATGTGTAGGAAATGTTCTATGACATTCTCTTCTAAATCCAATCGTTTTCGATGAATTTTCTAAATACTAAAGTCAACATTTTTTGATGCACTCAATTTTATGAAAGTACTTCTCTAGATAATTTCCAAAATATCTGGGAAACTGATAGATTTGGAGGAAAATGTAATTGACTATTATATATCGGGAGTTTAATGATCTTAAAAAAATTATTGTGACATTTTGATCAATCATTTTCGATAATTAAGTGTTAAAATGGTGAGAGAGGTGAAAAAAAAGTAATTCATGAACTGTTTTTCCTCGATATCTCGTGAACTGTAGAATCGAAGGACAAAAAATATAAGAAGACACATTTCGAAAATTGAATTCCCCATAAAAATTATTTGAGGGATTTTTTTAATAGACTTGATGTTGCAGGAGAGATCTATTGCATTCTTATCATCTTTGAACATCCCAAAAATTTTCTAATCGTTGCAACAGA